AATGGCTCTCTGGGATACAAGGCTCAGTTAAGGCAATATCCCAGAATTGTCCATGGACTCATGTCTTTGGAGAACAAGTCTTACTGAAGTTTGACTTCAGCTGAAAGACCAGTGTTCTTTAAAAAGACTGGTTTTGTCAGCAATCTGAAACCCAGTTACCCGAAGGCGAAGGTTTCAGACGAGGCTGATTTAAAAATTTTCAACTGTTGCTGTTATCCTTGATTTTCTGTCTATCTTTGAAAAATGGATACCCGAAACACAGGGCCAACTTAAGGCAATGTTTCGGATAATGGCTCTCTGGGATACAAGGCTCAGTTAAGGCAATATCCCAGAATTGTCCATGGACTCATGTCTTTGGAGAACAAGTCTTACTGAAGTTTGACTTCAGCTGAAAGACCAGTGTTCTTTAAAAAGACAGGTTTTGTCAGCAATCTGAAACCCAGTTACCCGAAGGCGAAGGCTTCAGACGAGGCTGAATAAAAAACCCTCAAAATTAGATAGAACAAAGAAAATTTTGAAAGGATAAAAAGTTGTAAATTTTATATAAATGGCGGCTCCAAGGCCTGTCATTAGTTCAAAATGTACTTACAAAGATTGTTCTGCCCCGAAGGGTTTACACATGGTATTTTTTCAGTACATCAGCATTCCAGTGATTCTTCAACTCAGTTCCATCCAACTGCCGAAGTCGGTATGTCCCTGGCTGAAGCTCATCATAAATTTCATAAGGTCCCTCCCATGTAGCTGAGAGCTTCCCATGGATTCGGCCTTTCTGAACTGCAGCAGCATTCCGAAGGACAAGATCCCCAATTTTGAGAGGCCTTGCATGGACCCTTCGGTTATGGGAGATGAGGTCTGAACTTATCCCGGGCATATCAGCTGCCGAGAAAGCAAACACATCTCTGTTATCCCGCAGGAGCTGAATAAGTTCACAACGGGTGTTAGGATCAAGGTCCATCCCGATTGTTACACATTTCTCAGCATCTCCTTCGGCCAACTCTGCTGTTTCAGTCTGTTGGTCCATGTCCATTGCCGATGGACTGGACTCTTCAGAATCTGGTCTGCTGCCAATGTCAGCAGGTGTCCCAGTCTTTGTGTTCTTCGGCTGGCTCTCTGAGTCTTTCGGCTCAGATGAAGAGTCAACCTTTTCCCTTTCGGGACCTTTTTCTCTGGGCACTGATCCTTGGGCCGAAGCACTTAGGCCTTTCGGCTTTTTTGTGCTTGGCTCTCTTTCTTTTTCTTTCTCCTCCTCATCCTTGTCGTTATCTGGGCGACTACTGGATGGCTTGAGGTAGTTGCACCTTCGGGCGTCCTTCTGGTTGCCCTGTATCCTTTCGGGGAAGCCGGCGTCTGAGACATAAATCATCAGCTGATGATAAGTTGAGACGACCCCTTGGATCTCGTGAATTATGGGTCTCCCCAAAATCACGTTGTACACTGAAGGAGCGTCGATGACCAAAAACTCAATCATGACGTTCCGGGCTGCCTCATCGCAACCGATGGTGACAGGAAGTGTCACCTTCCCATCTGGATAAGTTGAAGCCCCATTGAACCCGGATACCGGATAGGGTACCGGCGTAAGGTGCTTGGGCTTCAGCTTAATTTGGTTGTAGGCCTTTCGGAACAGAATGTTTGCTCCGCTGCCACCGTCAACAAGGACCTTACTGACGTCGTGGTTGGCCACCGTGGCGATGATCACCAACGGATCCTCGTGAGGGAACGTAATCCCCCGGCAGTCGGCGGCTGTGAACGTCATGTTCGGCACCGGCGACTGGGGAGATTGAATGTCAGCGTTGTTCACCTGGTGAGTCAAAGCTCTAAGGTGACGCTTGTGCTCCCTCCGAGAGTATATTCCTCCCGAGATAACATTGATCGGAGGGAATTTCCCCTCCGGTTTTTTACTGTTTTTCCGGGGGAAATCAAGGTCCTGCCGAGGGTCCTTTGCTAGCCTCTCGGATTCTTTTTTCTCGCGGTGATCCGCGATGTATTTTTTCAAGTATCCCTTCCGGACCATGTCCTCTATCTGGTCCTTCAGCTGGATACACTCTTCAGTGTTGTGGCCCGAAGACTCGTGGAACTCACACCACTGATTTTTATTTTTTCGCTGATACCACTCTGGGAGTGGTCTCGGCTTTCGGTAACTCTGCTCCTCCTTCGTCACACTGTAAATTTTGGCGCGTGGAAGAGAGAGCGGAGTGTAGGACTCGTATCTGCCTGTGTATGAGGCAAACCTGTCCTTCTTTAGGTCGCTGGCCGAAGATGGCTCCGAGGCCTTTGATTTTCCCTTTGCCTTATGGCCTTGGCCTTCAGACAAGGGTATTTGCCTCTGTTTCCCTCCCCCGGATTGAGGTTGGGTTTTTGCTTTATTCCATTCTTCGGCTCGGATGAACTTATCCGAAGCACTAAGAGCTTCCTCCAAGGTCTGCGGGGTATGCATGACCATGAAGTCTAGGAATTTTCCTGGCTGAAGGCCATCCTGCATTGCAAAAACAGCTAGCCCCTGGTCCAGCTGAGAGACGCTTGATGACTCGTTACTGAAACGGGTCAGGTAGTCTCGGAGGCTTTCGGTTTCCCCCTGTTGCAGACCCATGAGCTCTGCGGTAGTCTTTTCTCGGCGGTTTGCCGTGGAAAACTTGCTCCTGAACTTGGAGGACAGATCATCCCAACCTGTTATGGAGCCTTGCCTTACTCCCTTGGAGATCCACGCTTGCGCGACCCCCTTGAGAGTGGTTGGGAAATATTTGCACCAAGTCGCCTCGGATCTGGGGCAAAGATGCATATGAGTCTCATACGAGGCCACGTGGTCCTTCGGATCCGTGGTCCCGTCATATGTGATATGCGACGGTATTTTAACCGTGGGTACGCGCTCTTCCAGTATCCATTGCTCGAATGGTGAACTAGCGGGAAGCATAATGGCCTTGCCCTTGTTCCTGGCCGAAGGGACCGCGCTCCGCCCTCTTAGAGAGGTAGGAGTGGTTTTCGTCCCTGGCTGGGAAGTCTGGGCCTCGGCTGCAGGGAACGAGAGGCGACTACGCACGCTCGGTTCCTGGCCGCCGAGTCGGTCAAGGACGCTTCTGCGAGCAGTCTCGGGTTCCCGGCGAGTAGATTCTGGCCGAGAAGCTGAGCTGCCGCTCTTATGCGCTGCTGGTCTTGAGGATGAGGATCCTTTAAATAATTGAGAGTTCTTCTTCCTCTGTTTTTCATTTTTCCAAGAATCCTCCTCCCACTCTTCCAGTTCCCGGAAGGAAGGAAGCTTCCCACCGTCATGGTCTAACTTCCTCCGCTGATGCCGGGTATGCGGAGGAGTTCGATCACGAGGCGGTGGCATATTCTGTGCCCTCATTGCCTCCATGAGTACTGCCAGCGCTCTTGCCACCTCTTCCGAATTGGGCCCCGTCAAAGGGGTCCCCGGCCGAGTGTGGGCATGAGGCCGTGCAGCCGATGGTTGGCTTCGGGACACTGAATATGTCCTATGATCAGACTGACCCCTGCTAGACCGAGAGTGGTCTGGCCTATATTGAGAGTCATGCATTATAGGAGATAGGGAATCCTCCTTGTGTGATCCTCCCCCCGAGCCGGCACCCTTGGGAGAGTTCCGGTCCGGCGTGGGCGATGGTGTAGGGGTTTTAGGCTTTTCGCCCGCTCCTTGACGGAGGCTTTTGCTCTTGCGGTTCTTAGCCATGGCTGCTAAGATAATTGCAAGATGATCTTGGTTAGGAATTTGGCTTAAAGATTTTTGAAAGTCTTCCCCACAGACGGCGCCAAATTGTTTCGGTTGAAAACAATGGGACCTTGCCGAAGGTCCACTGAAATGGAGAAGACTGGATTCGATCCAAGCTGTGTTGGGCCGAAGGTTTCCTGCACAGTGAACACACGTAAACTAGCCTCGGGGGTGTTTCCGAGGAAGGCCCCTCCGATGCTAAAGTCAGTACAATGTGTAAAAAGGAAGACACTATGCAAGAGAGTTTGTAGCTTGAGGCTTTTGTGGAGTATTTCTCAATGCAAGAATGAGCATATCAATTGGAATAATCCGTGTATGAGATAATGTATGTGATCCCCTTTTGAATGTGTTAATATGAGGGCTTTTATACCTCATCATACTTGGAGAGGTTGGGCTTTAGCCCAATTGGCTTACTTTGTGGGCTGACTTTTGACTTTTGAGCAATTGGAGAGTTGAACCTTGACCTTGGGCTTTTAATTGGATCATTTGGTGCTCAGGCCCAATTTTGACTAAATTGGACCCAAACAATATATATTTAGGCATCGCAATTAACTAGCTTGTTTCACCTTGAGTCTTGCAACAGATTTTACTGTTCATACATTTTAGCTAGCACATTTTAAGTCTGAGCAACAGGCCCCCATGCCAAACCCACAAGATTCACCGGCATTGCAATACCTTGTGCAAGCACCACTAATGCAGCGTGTGTCCGAGCAACAGGCGCCCTCGCCAAACCCACGAGATTCACCAAGGGTTTTGCAATATCTTATGCAAGCACCATTATGTTCATCAACCGTGTCGCGGCCACTACCACCACCTTCATTAAGTAGTTTTGCAAGCTCATCAAACTCCATGATGTTTGAGAGGGAACTGATTCACCCACCACCACAAAGGCAAGGAGAATCATATTGAATTGATTTCAACGTAACTATACGTACTAAACTTGGATATTTGATTTATTATTGTGTTTGTTTATTGTGTCGTCAAGAGTTTAGGGCCTAATTTTATAGCCATGCACAGGCCAATAATTGTGTCTTATCTATTTACAAGTGTGTGATTGAAAATACATTAAATATTAGACACACATATACTTCCTCCATTCTTCTTTACTTGACCCGCTTTGACTTTTACACTATTCACCACTCCTCTTTTGACCGTAGTTTGTGAATTATATGTAAGGAAAAAGATATTCATGTGAGATCTCGTTAGATTTGTCTCAATAAGTATTATCACAATTTATAACTTTTATAATTTTTATTTATAGAGAAATAAAGTTATTGATGGTTAAAGTTGTGCATCGACAAGCGTGATAAAAAAAATATGTTAAGTAAAAAAGAACAGAGGAAGTATTAGATACACAAATAAAAACGTGAGTAATAGTACTAGTTTGCCGGGCCAAGATAATAATTGTGTGGTGCTCTAGTATTTCCTTATCACAAGTTTGTAGAGATGGCAATTGTGCCGCTCATATCTTAGCCAGCTAGAGGTAGTAGAGATTATGTTGAGATGAGAGTGTGGTTAGCACAAGTGCCACATACACTGTGCTTGTAATGCTGTGTTGCTGGGGTGGGACAACCGCCCAGGCCCAAGATTGTGATGCTATGAAACCAAACATTGTCTATATTTTTCCTAGGATATATACTAAAACCTAGTGACGATGATGTTTAATGGCTTCCTTAATTATACTCCGCAATGATGTATAAGTACCAAGTGCTACAATCACTAAACTTAGAAGTATTAGTAGCATGATGAACATGTGCTCGATCGATCTCCCACTATTTTTCGAAATCTTCAAGTAGCATAAGCATGGAATTGTGATCGAAGCTGTCGCGCTTAGTAAGGCTCCAACTAGTGACATAAGACTTCCAAAGAAAGGAATGGTAACAGCTACGACAACTTGCGTAGCAACCAAAATAGTTCTCAATAAAATTTTGAACCCCTTGTTCTTTTGATATTTTGGAAACCAACTTTCAGTGGTAGCTGCAACAGGCTCCATCATCAATGCATATTTCGATAATGGACTAATCCATGCTGTATATATCGCGATTTTTGAACTTAGTGTATGTGTTGGAAGGTTCAATGTTATTTGGGATTGTAATGCTGAACCAAACATTAGATATCCAAGTATTGCCATTGAAGTGTAACATATAGTAGCACATGCGAATCCGATGATTAAGACCTAGCACAAAAATTCAAACATCGACAGGATTAGCACATTTATACAAAGTTTTGCATTTTGAATTATTAGCACTTTCTCCGATTTTTATTTGTTGCAATTTTTGGAATTTTTCCATAATTGAAGAAAGTAAACAACCCCAAAGTTCGAATTATTCCAAAATAATCTTAAATTGGGATTATTAAAAGAAAATGCAGAAAAGTTGGGATTATTATTTACAATTTTTTCTTTTGGAATTTTTTCATGCTTTCCATTACATATCTTCAACCATTAATATCAATTAATTATTATACTAAAAAAAGTACTATTATATACTGAAATGTATCATGATCTCATATTACATGACTATGTTGGTTTTTTTTTTCATTGTTTTATATAGAAATCACCAAAGATATGACAAAGTGGAGTATTATTGTATGTCTAATTATTAATTTCTTACTAACAAAAAAAAATTAAAAATTAAAAATTAAAAAAGTTAGAAATGACATAGTAACATGTACCTTAGAGAAATGGTGTTTCTTTTTCATGGAAGAGTATAGGGTCGGAAAGACAGGATTAGCACTATAAGAGAACATGTACAAGCTCATAGCCATAGGAATGCCTTTCCAATTTAGGAGTTCACCTTTGTTGTGAAACCCGACGCCATCGAAAATTCCAACTGATAAAATTGATCCAAGAATCAAAAGAGCAGATACAACACCGGTAGCAGAAATGTAAGCAAGAATGCTTAGATTGTCTAGCCAAACCGTTGGAAGAAGAGCTACCGCGATTATTATAACAAAACTTTGTTTTCCACCAATACTAATCCCTTTCATATGAATGTTCATTTCAGGGAAAAGATTGTGTAGATTATCTCCTTCTAAGATTAAGTAACCTGTTAGGACTAAATAAAGGTCTACATATAGAACAATTGATACAATTGTTTTTCCGAGTTTTCCAAACGCAGCCTCTCCGATTTCAGCGTATGTTTTGATCTTAGGATTCGCGTCCATGCATCGTTTGGTTAATAGGCCTGCATAGCCTGCAGCACCGGAGATTGCGAGTAGCAAGATTAAGCTTAACCAACCTCCTGATGCTAGAGCATATGGCATTGACAAAAGTCCCACTCCTACAATACAGAATGAACTTATCATAAGAACGAGGTTTATTAGCATAGGATAAAAAATAATGTAAAAAATTCGTCCACAAACAAAACTCAAGAGGTTTTGTACTAAAACCAATTAGTGATAGTAGGATATTTACAAGTGGGATTACAATGGGTTTCAACATAACATAGCTCCGGCCTTACGAAATAAGACCAAATTAATTTGGAGTATGTGAATATAAACAATGTTGTTGTACGATGATAAATTGTATGAGAGAGTTGAATTACCTATAATTGCATTGAGGCCATTGAATAACGTCTTAAAGAATGAGGTGTTGCCATCACTTGAGGAATTGTTGTTTGCCTCTTGATCTATCTGATCCATTGTATATATTCTTGGAATCTTGGTACTTTGTTTATCGTATATATCTATCCTTATGTTCTCAACCTTCTTAGATAGAGAAGAAAAAACATAGATATCAAACAAGTAAGAATACTGCAAAGTTAAAATATAAAATATATAGACTCCCATCTTGAGTTTAGCTAAATTGTTACATTATTGTTGGTTCAAATAACTACATTGTCAACACGACAATTGAATTTAGATGAACATAATATTATAGGTTTCGACCATTTAAATTTTTTACAATTAACAAAGAGAAGAGAGAGCTTACCAAAGTATGTAGTAGAAGATAGCAGATAATCAAGCTTTGTGTTGAATGATGATGTATAAGATTGAATGTTTAGATGTAATGATATTGAAAGAGTAGGAAACCTATGATATATATATAAAACTTCAATTATATTATTAACTCTTAAATCTAAATCAAAGAAGAGAATTCGGGTTTGTACTGACATTTTTAAAGGAAAATACATTCATTTATATGTATATTTATAGCATTTTAAAACATGGCAAATATTTCATCACTGAGATTCAAGATCGACGACTAAAATACTTGGTTGAAGTTGACCAAATTTGTATGAACAATCTTATATATTAAAGAGGTTTTTTTATACTTCATTACAGTATAATTTTGTAATCAAGGACTTAAAGATAGACGTGGCGAGCTAAATAATTTTGACAATTTCTTAAGTACTTTACTACATATATACTCTATTAAATGTTCGATTAAATTAAATTAGTGGCTGGGTTGTATTAAAGTTGCCCCAAAGACAAACTTGGGACTATTCATTAAAAAAAAAAAAAAAATTCTGCATGTGATTAGATTCCGCATTTTACATAGCTAGAAAATAACAATTTTTTTTTTTTGGTTTTCCACCCGGTTTATCATTTGGACTAATTCGAAATTGGGGATCAGTTTTGGATGGTTAGGTTCCAATCCCCTTCCAATTGTTGTTGCGGGGGATTGAACACACGCTCCTCCCAATCAAGCTGTAAAATAACAATTGATAACTACGTTATTCAGTTTTGTATGTCTATGTTTGATTTAGCTATCGATTATTGAGATGATGTAGTAATATTCATCTTTGTTATAGTTATATTTTGTATCATGTATATCAGTATATGTGTGAAAGCATTTAGTCCTAGGTCAAGATAATAAACAATCTATCCATATATAATGGCTGACTTTGTAGCATTTAGAGTCAAAGGATAACCACAATTGACATTGTTACATATATATTCGCTGATACCGCTTGATATACTTTGGAATAATTTCACATAAACTGTAGCTTAAACAAAATTTATTGACTAATTCTCACTTCAAAAAATGAAGTACTCTCCATATATTTGTATAATATAAGATATAGGCCATACATTTTCGATAATTAGCTTGTAGTTGTAGCTAATAATGTAACTAGTTGTATTAACAAGTTCGGCGAACATATTAGATAATTAATTACACACGTAATCACATACTGATGATTACATACACCCAAATGTATAACAGAAATTACCCGTACATTATATTTCTCGCTATCATTCTCCTCTCAAGCACCTCATCAATTACGCAATATATAAAACATGTTGCAACGTACGACAGGCAAGCATGCAGGTGCTTGTCCAACTCCGATCATGTATGGCTTCACATGCATGGCACATGGGAACTTCCCCATGCATTTAGCTGCCCCTTTAGGCCAAGATCTTTCGTATAGGATAATATGATATACTATACTGAATAATAATGCTCCACCAAAACTTATCATGTTATATGAAACTGCTGTAAACATTGATTAAATTAGAGTACATAATTAGGTCAATAATGACTTAATTAGCGCACTAATTCAACATATCTTTACAATAGAACTACATAAGATAATACTTCCTAGTTATTTTTGTCTGCTACATCTTGACTTTTGCACCATTGTGTATACTCATCATAGTTAAATTAAAATAAAACACACAAATAGTGTAAAAATTCGAAGTGGTAGTCTTCTAATAGAACCATAAATAAACAAAGAAAACACTCTGTAATGAATACACAGGTAACAGACTAAGACCCTATTCTCTCTACCTTAAAATAATTATTGTTAAATTTAAGTTATTTAGTAAAAATCACAGAGCGTATGTGCAATTAACTCCTATGAAATCAATATTGAAACTAGTTATTCAGCCCATGGATGAAGATCAATCAGCCTAAATGTGTTAAAAACAATTTAATCAGCCCAAATGTTAACGAAATCAGGCCTGTTGGTGCGTTGGGCCTATAAAAATAAGCAAATTATTTGGGCCTCTGGAATATATCAGTCCAAAGGCTAGTAATGCAACCCAAAGGTATGGTAACAAAATCAATCAACCAAATATTTGCACCAACAGAGAGAAGATCAACCATCAACGTCATTTGGCATTTACATAAAAAAAAAAAAAAAAAAACCATTATTAATTCTTATCTGTACTTAAATCATTTTACATTCATCGTGAATGAAACTTGATCGCACAACACTCTAATATTAGTTTTAAGGTAACATGGAATATTATTAGTTTGTAGTTAAGATTGAGGATCTGTGTATGATAAGTTACAGGAACAATCCACCACACCTCCCATGCAATTTGTGTTGCCCTTATGACTCATTCGTATCTAAAAAAAAATAGAAATTAAGGTGAGAAATGAAAAATTATAGAAATTAAGGTGAGAAATGAACTATCAATAGTATTTTGGAGTACAAACAACCGTAAATAGCTAGTTAAATACTTTTCTTCATATTATGCGTGTAGCATTGTTATCAAAAGTAGAAATTGCACCTTTTTGAGCCAAAAAAAAAAATGTTTTCTCCTGTTGTATACTTCATACTTGCTTTCTGTCCAAAAAATGGAACTCTTAAAAATTGAGACATTCTTTTTAATTTGTTTGTAAATTATTTTCACATGAACTTTTTTTGTATGTATACAATGTTTCTGGTCTTTTTACATTCGTGAGATGTTGATCCATGTATCTACCTCTTTTTTTCATTCTTTAATATATTTTTTTATCAATGTATCTACTTAGAGACATGCGTGTGGCACGTGTTAAGTTATTGATAGATTAATTGGGATAATTTTAAGCAAAATGTTATATATATATATATATATATATATATATATATATATATATATATATATATATATATATATATATATATATATATATATATATATATATATATATATATATATATATATATATATATATACTCACATAAACATAGTTATTCTGTAATTTGTACTGTCAAGCATTGATGTTTCCTTAACCTAATGCAAATGTTTTTGGACCAATTATTGCACATAAAAAGCCTTTCATTATTTAATATACCAAGATTATAAGATTCCTGCATTATATTAAATCATTATTAATATAATCATAAGAAACATTAAACCTTAATTAATAAAGCTTAAGCGGCCACTCATGTTTGTTGTTCAAATTTTTTTTTTTTGAACGTACACTTCTTGTTTTCTTTTGTTGTTTGTGGTTATATTTTACTAAGTAGGAGTGCATGCATCTTTGATCATATGACAAAGTTTTATTGTTAATATTATTGTCTATTCATCTTTTTGAATTTTTTTTTAATTAGAACACCTTAATTATAAAATTGATCTGATCTGATTATTTGATTCAAAACTAACAAATACATTCAGGATTAGAAACCATATTCGTACCTAAATGAATTCAACTCTGATCGGCTTCAACTGAAAATTATTAACTTGCTATATACTCAAACGAGACCTAAAACTTGCACCATGCAAATGACCCATCACCCTAGGTAATCAATACAACCCAATTGAAATGATTTATTAGCCACATCTCTATCTATAATGATACTTGATGTCGTTGTTGATCGATGATGAGAAGGATGCATAATACATGTGTTTTCAAATTAGTTGATAGATGTTGCTAGTTTGAAATTTGTTATAATTATAGTTTCATTTCATTAAACTTTACGCATTGTCGCGTCACAAAGTTCATATACATTTTAAGTATATGATGTGAGTTTATTTCTTATGGTGTTGATATCTATGTAATGTATGAAAAATCTTTCTAAAATTCAGTTTCTCATGTGTGCCATGTGAGTAAATGACGAGATTTGATTGTATTGAATTGAATATATGTTTGAATACGTCATGAAAGTTCTAGATCGTTGTTAACAAGAGCTATTGACCTTATATTCTTTACTCTTTATAATCTTGTAGATGATGATACAAAATCTATTAATAATATGAATATATAGTGCTAGTTTTTGTTATGATGTACTCCTTAGAAGTTAGAGTTTTTAATGCATGAATACTTCCTGCCATTTTCCTTGGTTAAAGATGACGAAATAATTATTAAGTGCAATTCACGTGTTACTATAACTTGGACCTTTTCTCTTCATATATAGATCTTTGACTCTGGCTTTTGTTCTTTCTTCTCCTATCTTCTGGTCTTGGAGACAGGCAACTATATAGCATATGGCTTGATCCCTTGTCAATAAATGTGATAATTAAGCCATAAATTCATATATACTACTAGTTCGATCATAAGTGCAACGGGTATTTTATATACATTAACAGGTTTTTGTTACGCCAAATGGCAATATACTATTCGGCCAATCTATACTGTTGATAATTATAAAAGACAAATGATGTACTTGTAAATGACATTTGGTCACATAATTTGAGTACTATCTTCACTACTTAATTCTAATTAAACTAGTTAACATCCATTCTGTATTTAATTTATGACGGTTGCAATTAAAATTTTGGCCGTATTTAATTCTAAGTAATAGGGTCGAACTTTATAAAGATGTTAGTAGAAACAGAAGTAAAGATCACGATATGCAATTTCTGTTCTCTAAAAATCTAGCATTGAAGTTTGTATTTTATGAACAACAAATTAATTAGGCAACAAATTTGAGACCATGTTAGTCAACAACAATTAATTGGCAAGAAAACACACATCTTTTTCTTTTCTTTTTTTGTTGAAAGTAAGATTACTATTAAGCACTCTTAACTGACCTATACATGAGTTCGTAATTGATTTACTGATTTGTATACTCCGTAAAAGAAATACTAATTTTCCACAAAGTTTCCGGGTAGAATTTCGTGACTTGAGATGGGGTTAATTAGGAATTTAGGATGTCAATCACGTACAAATTCAAGTGGAAACCTTAGTAGAGTTTTAAACTTTTAATATAAGGTCATCTTTTGCTATTTTATACAATAACACGGAATAAAATTTTGTACATATGCAATGTCAGATTATATGACGATTCTCATCACATAATAGGGCGTATGTAGGCGCATGGATCATAAATAGAGGTGACAAATGAATGGTTTGACCTATATATCAGGTTCAAGTATGAGTTATTTTTTAGTTCGATTA